GATAAATGGATGGATAGATGGATGGATGGATGGATGGATGGATAGATGGATGGATGGATGAATCTGTGAGACTCTGAGTGCTATAGGGGAACACAAAGACATATATGACTCAGTCCGTACACTTGGGCAATTATACTCAAATAGAGGAGGGAAGACACAGGCTCAACAACTTCAGTGTAAGATAGAAATGGTTCAGATGACCATACTGGGAGTAAAGGACTCTATCGAGTATGTGCATGGAAACAAAGCCTTGCATAAAAGACAGTGCATTCTCATCAAAGCTGAGGAACAGGTGAGGCTTATCTCATGGGCTAACTGGCCTGTGTCTCATGCAGGTTTCCGTTCCCTGCAGCTTGGCTCTGGCCCCTCTGGCCCCCATCCCCCCACTCTCTTGCTTTGCCCTTATGCTCTGAACCTTTTCTAACCCTAAGCCAAATATATCTCTCTTGGTCCCTGTTTCCAATACTTCTGAGAGTGTTAACAAGTTAATCAGTTAATGCTTCCCAGTAATATTTTTGCAGTCTAATGTTTACTTTAGTGGGAACTTCTGACACAGCAAAGGGAGAAGGGAGAGGATCTGGAAATGAAGCAGAATATCTTGTGGTCCAGTAGGGTCCCTCCACTGGGGGGATGACCTTCAAAGCACAGACCTGACCACAGGAACAGCCAACAATAGACTGTCCCCCAGGGGCCCTGCTGGTCTGTTTAGATGAGGTGGCCCTTCATTAAAGTCATTACTGTTAATATGCTCCATCACTGGGAAACCCAGAAAAACTGCCCTGAAAATATCTCGAGCTTGAGGGAGAATTTTCTCTTTTTCAGGCTAATGCAAAACTCCACCTTTCACATTCTCCTTGGGGACAAGTTCAAGCGCAAGCTGGATAAAACAACTGCTGACTGAGGAAGGCAAGAAAACCTGCACGAAGTCGGGAATCCAGGCAGAGCACCCCGGAATGCTGGGCTACCTTTCTGCATTCTTCTCTGAATGTGCAAGCACTGAGGACAATCCCAGAGGCCAGCAGGGACGTAGACCCATGGACCGCTGAGACTACCGGCAAGAAGGAATAACCCACACTCTGGAGGAAGAGCAGGTGTGCGCTATCCCACTACCCCCACTGCACGTGCTGGCAGCAACGCACCATGCACATGCATCCAATGCTTCACACTCTTCACCCGGTACGTTTCCTGCCCACACTCATGAGGGGGCAGCCCAGGAAGGACACCGAGGTACACACACAGTGCCCACCCTCAGCGGCTTATCCCAGAAAAACAAGATCTGTTGACCTTGTATGCGGATGTCACTTGCCTATGCCAACTTTGCGCAGGGTGGGGGGCTCTGATCCCCCTAGAACGGGGAAGGGCAGACACATAGGAGCAATCAGGCTTTGAGGCGTGCAGTCAGGATGGTCTGCTACGTTAAGATAAGACTTGCTTGGATTAAAGATCATAGACTCCTGTGCCCTAAAAAAACTGTCATTTGTCATTTTTATGAAATCTCTGGCTTTGCCTTTTCTCTCTCCCCTCTACTAAAAGCCAGGGGGCTCTCCAACAACCTCCTGGCCATTTCCTTACCGCGACCATGGCTTGGATCTTCAGGCCGGCGTCCCTGACCGCCGTGTAGCGCTTGTTGAGATTGGCCGTCCTTCCATCCAGGTCCAGCAGGGCCTCTTTCTTGTTGTCCTTTCTTTCAAACAGCGGGTTGGCCGACCAATCCTGAAAGGAAAACACGGGAGTGAGTGAGGTTGTTCTGGAGAAAACGCTTCTGCTCAGGTCCTTCCCTGCACACCCTTAGGTGTGAGTTTTCTAGTCCCTTGCTGATCTCAGATGGGAGCTTAGTTCTCAGTGACCTGTGCTCACAAGGGGCTTAACTGACCATTGACCAGACAGCCTTAGATGACTTAACTCAAAATAAAACCGGGGCCTAGAGGGACAACCAAGAGACTGTCAAGGTATTTCATCGATCAGGCCAGAAAGTGATCACTCTTCTGGGGAAGGAGCATCTAATTTCCTTGTTGGGCATAGAAGGACCTCAGGGTCGAGTGACGTCTGGTCAGTGCTGGATGGATCGTGCATAGCTGCAAATGGAGGGCCGAGTGGGAGTAAGTCCCTTTCGTGGGGGCTGCTGACTGCTGACAGGGAAGGGTGCGGATGGGTGGGAAGTGCGCTCGGGGTTCCGGCTCCCCTGCACCTGGGAGTGCAGCCACAAGGGCGAGTGGGAGTAAGTCCCTTTCGTGGGGGCTGCTGACTGCTGACAGGGAAGGGTGCAGATGGGTGGGAAGTGCGCTCGGGGTTCCGGCTCCCCTGCACCTGGGAGTGCAGCCACAAGGGTGGGTGGAGTTCACCTGTAATTATGATTTTGATTTTACTCTATTATTCAATAATTAGGTTTTTGGTTTTTTTTTTACTTTAAATTTCCATCAAAGTGATACACATATGGTAACAAAACATGCAACAAGAAAAGTTTCTGACAAAAAAAACCACACACACACACATGACTTTTTGTACCCATCTCTCCCAATCCCGCCACCCTATTCCCCACTGGAAATTGGGGAAACTTCAGCTTTCCCCCTTCTAGTGGCTGCCTCCAACATGCTGGATAATTTGTGGGATGCTTTACGTCAGTTTAGCT